AACAACTTTTGCCTGCTAGTGTGGCACAGCGAGTAAGTCGCTGCTTTAAATCACACATAAGCAAGAAAATTTGCCGAGCTAAAACACGTCAAGCACATGGGCTGCATTATCCCTATCTAAAACGGAATTATCACACTCTGCTAAACTCCTGAGTGCACCCGAATAATTATTGAATATCACATTCCATTCTGTCGGCACATATAATAACCTTCCGCACCGATGGCATTAGAAGATTCTCGCAGGGAAGCATGGGGAACCGTTCAACTTAACGAGGTCCCTATGGATCGTGGGCCATTACGACGTTATCTAAAATACTGATCGGGAAGGCAAGAGGCGAAGACAGAGATACTGTATTTGGGAAGCTGTGAATTAATTGACCGATTGAAGAAATTATGTAGCAGCTTCAGGCGGAGCGATTACGGTAGGCCTCCTTGAGCTCGACGGTGATGGCAGATGACGTCATATTCTAGACGGTGAGGGCAGTGAAGGAGGCCTGCTTCTGCTAATGGCGAAACATCTGAGGAATATTCTACCGTTAGAATTCCACCCTGCGCGATGAAAGTTTTGTGATTAGCGTCTTGGGCGAAATGACTTCTCTGCCAACCCCCCCCCCTTCCTGTTGAGGGCCACTGGTGGAGACATCAAAGTTTGAAGTACGCATCGATGTTCGATTGATCGGATGAGAGTTTTCTAGAAAGAAACTTCCTTTTTCAGTACAAGTAACACCTTGTATTTTTTCCAATTTTGATCGCGTAAGGGCTCGAATCTTTCTTTACTATTGAGACAATTCAGACATCTAAAATTGAAAGTTATACAGTCAATCAATGCAAGGACCTCTATACGCCGATAACGTGCGACACGCGACAGCCGATCGGAACAAAATAAAATCGACCCTCACACCAGGGATGAACGGAATTAACTCAGCTCCCGCTGAATTTTTTTTGCCTCCGGCAATTTTGAGAAACACAGGATAGGCCACTGCGAGTTACAGCGATCAGTGTCCCTTCACAACGAATATGCCAACTATGCTTGGTCCTTTTCCAGTGAATACTTGTTGGACAGAGGAGATGTAGGAAGGTAGAGAGACTTGATATCCCCGCCATGGCAACCCGCTCACTGGTCACTGACTGCTCTCATCCTCGAACTAATCTACATTGGTCTTTAGACCCGTACACATAAATAATTATCAGAAATATTAACACTTAATAGTAATTTATAAGTATTCATTATAGATAGAAAAGTAGACTATAGAATATTACAAAATAATGTATAAGGATGTCTTTTGACTATCGTTTTAGAGGCACTAAATAAATAAATGGATATCAAAACACATTAATAATACGAGCGTATTCTATGAAAAAAGATAGGGTCTATTCCAATCAGGGGGCATCATGGTGCGGTGACTCCCAAAAAGCTACGGTAACTCTGAGCCAGGGGGAGTGTAGCCAGCCTAGGGGGTGGGGGGTGAGGGCAGTCACTTGACATGCGTGAGAAGCTGGAATGTTCGAGTTTACATTAGCTCGCCGAGAAACTGCATCATGATGTCCCCCCCTAACTGGAAAAGACCCCCGAAAAATATGTTGTAGAATATTATCGAGTAATACTTCGTAATAACTTCGTATCTTCATCTCTCATAATAACCACCAAAGCCAAATGGAACGTAAAACAATAGGTAACGAGAAACGCACACCCCAGTCGAGCAATTGCGTACAACGGCCCAAACAAAACGCAATACTACTGAAAGTCGTCAACATTGGGAGTGCCGCGTGTGCAGACGGTTGTTTTCGGCGCCGGACAGGAGGCCAGATCGATACCAAGGCCGTGGTAAGCCTCTGACAACAAAAGCGGAGCTGCTGCACTTGGTGCAGCTCACATTGCGATCTGCTACAATGTGCTGAAACTCGACTTTGGTAGCGTTATTCACACAAAAATTTAGATGAATGGATAAGGATAATCTTTCCGATTTTAATAGGTTTCTAAAAGAAGGAACCAGTTTGTAGGGTTTCATACCCCTTTTTCTGCCACTAAGAATAGTTGGAGTCGATCTAGCGAGAATGTGAGGGAAACCGCGAGTTTTGCCACTGTGCTATGTCTTAATTTTCGAAAAAAGCGCTTCATGACACTGCCGTGAATCTTACTACGCTAGAGAGGAGAGCGGGAAGTCCTGGAAATGCTGAACTTGGAGAGGACAGGGCAGAAGAATATAGCCGTTCATTTTCAGTGGAAGGAACCGGACAGCCAATTCTCAGGGTGAAAGCTTTTAAATGGCATTCTCGTGGACTAGAAATGCAATTTTGCAAGTTATTGCCTAGCCTGGTGATTTTTGAAAGTTAAAATGGAAAGCAATATTTGTATTTTTGATAACAAAATTTCAAATGGTGACGTTCTTAGGAAAGAACACGACTGGAGAAACCGTCGAAGATCTGAATGGCTTCGAAGGAGGAGGAAAGCGGGCGCTGTGATGTTTGGTTCCTACGTGGTCGAGATGTAAACAACACAAACAGGAGCCGATTCGACTTTGCTCGCAACGAAACTGGCCTTACACACATTTCAGCGATTGATAACTTCTAGGATTTGTGAGAGAAAAGAAGACTAAAAAAAGGTAACACCTCATCTGATAAAGTGGTAGTAAAGTAAGCATTATACGTAGCTGACATCAAAGTATAAGCCCGGCATACGTCAGCCACGAAATACCATGGTTCTACGTCAAATGAAAACAACAGCTTTGCTGAGGAACGAGTAAAAGTTAGAGCGTATTTTGAAACATTTACAAGGTTCAAAAGCTAGAAGACAAGGGTGAAGATGAGGTTGGGGGGCTACTTCTTACTATCTTCATCCTTAGTGCAGGAGAGCGCTCCTTTGGGCTCTACAACATTAAGGATACCTGAATGGCTCATTTAGAGCATACAGTTGATAAGGACGGATGAGTGTCCTACATCTTACACACTGCCCTTACCCTATCCAAACTTTGAACCTGATTGTCCACTCTGAACCTCCATCCTTAGAACTACATAGGACATGATGCCCACACCCTCCGATTCAGGACCGTCTCGGACCGTTGCAGGCCAGAGTACTCCCATGGAGCACTCAGAGTACTTCCACACTAGACCGATACTTGTCAGAAGTGTACTCTGAAGGAGTCGGTTGCATGTCATAAGCGCTTTAGTTCTTACCTCAGGGTCGAAGAGCACAATGGAGCCTCCCTCCTCCTACCCCCCCCCCCAAACTCATTTTAAGGGGGACAAGAAGGCACACTCAAACGCGGTGGTATATGAATGGCAGGACAGCGGTGTGTGGTGGAACAGAGCGTGGAATCCGGAACGTATACCAAATTTAAAATTCAGGAAGGTGCGCGGTCGAAATCGTATTATGCATGGAATGCCATTGTGAGCTTTCAAACGGCATCGCATTCATACTATCGATAACGTAAAGTTCAGAGAACATTTGATGCGCCGGGATTTGATGTTGACAAGACATTCAAATTTTCCAAACTTCAAATACTACTTACAATTAATCACCAGTCTTGAAACAGTGGTGAAGCAATTTGTTACAACCAAATATTGCATGGAGTTTTGTATAGCTAGATTTCGTCACAACATAAAAGGAGAAAACATTCGGCGCTGATCCATCCAGCTTTCAGCTGCGCCACGAACTCTTCTGTCAATAAGAATCGTAGTGGCATGGATTTGGCAATGCGACTGCTTGATGACATTCGGCGGCCCTTCGATGTCAAGACAGTGCTTCACACTCCACACATTGTACCAACTTAGCCACCCCATTGTTGATATGGACGGCACAACCCATGATCCCTATCAAGGATGTAGTCGCTAGATCGTGCTAGTGGTAAGCAGCGTAAGCTACCACTACACCACTTCCATCCCTCTTTACGGGTTTCAAACATGGATGCATCACAAGATGAAAGAATGGGCATTAAGTCGGCTAATTTTATATTTGACTCAATCATGGACTAAGTGTTGTTTGATAACAAGGTTGCAAACAACAGAAGTACGGGCCAAAAAATTAGGTGGGAGTGGGGAAAAGGCTGACGCTTCACACAGGAGTGGTTGATAAAAAGGTGAAAAGAGAAATACAACAAAATAGTCAACTTGACTAGGATCTTACCTAGAGCATATAAGGTTTGTAGTTTCGGTGATGATATTGTCCGATTCACTAATGTAAACATTGCTGTAGCTATTGAAGCTTTGTTCATTATTTGTTATTCAGTTGAAAGCGACAAACGGAAAGTCCAGAAAGACAAGGTGGGCTCATTATGTTGTCGCAGAGATAAGTCGTACGCATGGCCCTGGGGCTCACACTGCTTTTTGTTGAAACTTCATCAACTATGGTCAAGGAAGCATAAGGATAAAAATTCTCCTCATATCCGGAGCCGGAAAGCATGCAGACAAGTGATGGTGTAACGACTATAGCATTGCAAGAAAAGCACTGTAGTGTCAGTTCGAAGCCAGCCTGGGATTTCACTTTCCGCTGGCTGGGTTTCGTATGGCACACAGTTAGGGGATCGCGGCGAAAACCAGTTTCATCATAAAAACAGCTCTCGGATAAAGGCAATTAAAGGAAATGGAAAAACAGTGTACTCCAACTAACTTATTAGCAATGCGGGTTGCAGTTTGCGCTGGGAAGTAATCACCTTGGCACACGTCCTACTGTTATAAAACAGCGCTGATGAGTCATAGGCGTTTCGCGATGTGATGTCAGCTAAAAGCGAAAGTGGCGTCACCCTCACCTACCCCCACGTCGATAGCACGGGAAACCCGTTTTTAGACTCCAGTAATGACTCATCGTAGATTTCTGTTCATTAAAGCAACCATCAGGATTAGCGACGTACATGCGTGTATTTATAAACAAGGAAAGGGAAGTAGGAGTAAAAGGGGCTTCAGGGAGTATTCAGTATAACCTCGATAGAGTGTGCACTTTTGTTCCCAAGCATTGGTATGAATCATCGCAAAATTGTTTTTCTTGTGGAGTGCAGAGTGCGGCAGCGGCGTTTTGAAAGGGAGAAATGTTCTGAAGGGGCAACCAATGGGAAAGAGACACTGCGGTTTCGAACGAGTGGTGGTCGAGTTCTCTGTTAGTAGTGCCATTATTTTAAATGCCTTTTAAGAGTGCACAAAAAATACGTACTCAAAGATCCCGCAGTATAAAAATGGAAAAACAGATTGAAAAGATTTTTTGTTAATATTTATTGATTTCAACAAAAAAGTTCATTCCTGACAATTACTAAAATTGGAACAATACACAGAAGAATATCATGGCCCCTGCGTAAGGATGAGGTGAAATTCTTGACGCGCTTAAAAATTTTCGGGGCGCAAGTGGTTGTAGCGGGAAATGGCGCTGCTTACCACGCGCGCGGTCCAGGATCAAATCCTGGTCGTGCCCGGGCCAACCAAGCCTTCCATCCCTCCGGGGTCGGTTAATTGGTACCAGACTTGTCTGGGAGGATAAAAACACTGACTTGTACATCGGCTGGCCCCCGCAAGTCATTGTATAGGCCAAATCGCATTTAAAGGCAAAGTTCGGGCTCAGACCCACTTAATGAGCCTTTACGGTGGCTAGAAGCGCTAGGTACGCAAGTGTAGAGGTCGCGTCACTTCCCTACTTCGAAAAGCGTTTTAGACGCTAGGCGCTAAGAACTTTGACACGCTCCACCTGTTGCGACACGCTCCGCCCACCGCTCGATATCTTGTCTGCGTCGCTAATGTTGATCTGCTATGCTCTCTCTACTCGGACTTCTCTACCGCTCTCCGCGCTCACATTATCTCTCATCTCCCTGCCGGCCTTTTGAACTTCTCCGCAGCGTAGAGCAAAAGGCTCGTATTTCCTGTGTATTTCACGATTTTTTTTCTTTTTTCTCCACTGGCGGTCCACTTCCTACCCCTACTTTCACATTTGAGTGGACCTCATAATTTAATCCTGAATCATGCCTTTAAGTGACGCTACGATTGTGTGATGAATGTAGATGGAAGTAGAATGCGTGCTTTATCCTTCATCTTATTATTCAACAAAAAATGTGATCACATCTCGAAACTTCCATTTTCTCGAACAATGCCTTTGGCGACAGACGATTAGAGAATGCCCTAGGTCTAAGCCTTGGAGAGGAGAGGGACCCGCTAGAGAGCAGAGGCGGTAAAGGGCTGAGTTCAAGTAGTCCGTCAACCGCGCAGCTCCTCAGTCAACGTATCGATCGAAGGGGGCGCACCAGCGATTGATCGCTCCCTGCCACAACGGCCTGTGAGTCGGAGTCGCGCGATTCACATTACTCCCATCTTGACCAAATCGCTCCAACCGCAAAGTCTGACATCGGCCATTGCTGCGCGCGAGATTGGACACGTTCTTGGATTCTTCCTATACTATGTCTCGTCACGATCGCGATGAATTTATCACCGTAACAAGCACAATATCAAGGTATGTACCAGATTGTAGTTCATGCACGCTAGTGGGATTTAGAAGATCATCTCCGATCTCGATCCACCTACTTCAAACTAAAAATATAGGAGCACTTTTTGCATCTACAGCGATAAATAGAGGACCGGCTTGCAGCACGTTATATCCTAGTGGTTGTAAAAGTGTAACACAAAGAAATCCCAGAAAACAGTGGCAAACGAAGTAATGAGGTTCATTTTATGTGGACTGGCTGAGTCAAGTTCAATAAAGAAACAACGAAGAGAAATGACAATTATGGCATGACGTACGACTACGGTAGCATTATGCATTACGGCGGAACCAGGTATGTTTCAAGAAATATGATTCAAACCCATGCTTCGGCTCATAGATATGATGTTTGAGTTATTATTGACACCTTGTAAGCTCTTGTGCAGGTATAGGTATCAATGTCTACTATGACACATGACAAATTAACTGGCTACTCGTTGAATAATTTAGTGCATCGTACAATAATAAGCCAACAATGGTGCCGTTTGATGTGGACTATCAGCAAACCCTTGGCTCTCCATTCATTTCTTTCATTGAACTTTCCATGCTCAACGAACATTACAAATGCAAAGGTTTGGTACACTGATTCTCAAAATATTCGTCAACAGATGATTGCAATCGAATTACGGGTTCCTTCGAGCTCGTATAGAAATCATTTTCGATACTTCACCTTGTCGATTATGGCCACAAGAATACACTCCAACGCTATTGTCACTCGTGAATTAGCTTGACATGTACATACTTGTTTGTTGTTACAGGCTATATTCAGGAAAAAGTTTCAGCACGTTTTTCAAGACGTAAATTATCAGAAAAATTTCCCGAATCAATCTATTTTTTATGGATGGGTGGATCAGCAAACTACAACGGCTCCAAAAAATAGCGGGCGCACAATCTTGGAACCCATTGGTCTTCTGTCCTTCCACTCACATAATTCAGAAAACTGCAATCCAGCTAAGTCGGCTAAATGCGAAATGGGCGGATTCCCTCATCCCCGAGACTGCAGCAAATGTATCTGTCCTGGTGGATACGCCGGAGCTCGATGCACCGAAAGAGTGAGCAAATCCTCAAATGTAAATGATGCAAAAGTGGCTGCAAAGTAGACTTTTCAGCCGTCGGGCTGTGGCAGTACAATTCAAGCTTCGCACGCATGGCAGAGATTAAAGGATATCCTTGGCTTTGGATATGATGAGCGAGAGGACTTCCTTATTTGTTACTACTGAATTGAAGTACGTTCCAAAATACTTAGTTCCCTCTGAATTAAATGCTCAGTTCAAATGTGTGAGATCAAATGTGTGAATGTTTTTTTAACTGCTGCGGTTCCTGGCGTAAGAAAAGTGATCGGTGGATTTCTTATTGTGATAGTGATACGCTCGTTTTTGTAGTCTCCTGCCGGAACTGAAATCGAAGTGAGGTTATTGGATTTCACGAGGGGTCTTCTCCGTTGATGGATGCAAATTTGCCGGTGTAGAGATCAAGACCAACAAGGATCAAACACTCACTGGCTACAGGTGAAGCTGTTGTTGCAATAGGATTTCAGTTTGAAAGGAGTCATGTAATGAAGCAGTTTGTCTGGTTTTTTCCTCCCTCAAAGAAGATCGGGGAATCCTTAATACATCAAGGACAAAACTTGAAATCTCGCTAACCTGCTGGGGAGGTCAGCAGTATAAACAAGAAAAAGGATGGGGAACAAGACCCCTCCCTGAGGAACACCGCTGTGAACTTTATACACAGAGGAGAGCTTGCTTCCAATACGTACTTGGTAGGTGCGATCACAAATGAATGCTTCGATCCAGCGAACAATACTTAAGAATTAACTATGTGAAGGCACTCTATCGAATGCCTTCGCAAAGTCAAAGTATATAACGTCAAGCTGTTTCCTACGATCGAGAGCTTTCGTCCAAGTCATTGAGAGAACTCAGCAAAGCTGTTTCTGTTGATTTTCCAGCACGAAAACCATATTGAGAGAAAGGAATAATACTGTGCTTCTCAAGATACTCTGTACCCTAAGCTTTACGATTTTTTCAAAAAGCCTTGAAAAAATTGAATTTATGCATATAGGCCGGTAGTTCGCAGGACTGCAGAAAGGAAGACTTCTTAGGGACCGGCACAATGAAAGAGTGTTTCCACCGAGAACACTTCGGACCGCATGTAGGACAAATTAAAGAGAAGCTCTAAATGGAAGGCAATTCCTTTGGTGAAATTTAGAGGTCAAATGTCAGATGTAACCGATTGAGAGTCTACTGAGTTAACAATCGAATATCTCCTCCCTATGAAACCGCAGTGAAGGTTCCATAGAAGGGCCAAAAGAGGGAAGTTCAATAGGTGGAGCACCATTATTTCTTGCTTCCACGAAAACACTTTGGAAATGTTTGGCAAGTATCTCTGCTTTCTCTTCATCAAGCATAGCAATATTATTTTCAGATGTACGTAATGCTGGTATTTTCTTAGAATTCCTAAGGCGTTTGGTGATAGGAAAACAGCTTTGTCGAGTAGATTTCAGTAATTTTCCTTTCTAGATAGGCGAAATATTTAGTCACACATTTACTTAGTTTTTTTTTATCAAAAACCTTATATGTTTTCCAAGTAGATTCACAATCCTCGGCTACCGCACACGACCACAAGTGACTACGGCGACAAACCATTCTCTCCAGATAAGAAGGCAGTTTGATCCTCATACCTTTAGTAAGACGAAGCGGCACAAAACGATCTATTGAATCATGAAGGACCGCAAGGAACAGCTCGTATTTGTCATCCACGGATTCAACAGAAGCGAAACACCCTACCCAATCAATACTACTTATACTCACAAGTAGCCTCATAGTTAGCTTCTTTGAAATGTCTTGCCCACTTTTGGGGCGCAACAATAGGTGTGCTAACGTTCAGGGTGACATCAACGGAAGCAGGATCACTGCTGCCAATAGGCGGAAGTATTTCAACATGGCTAATCAAGCGGTCATCATTACAAAGGACTAGGTCGAGGTATGACGTCCCACGAGTGGATTTCTGACAAACTGCGCATAATTGTGTGAAGGAAAAACATCCATGAATTCCTTAGATATGGTGGAAAAGTTACTACGACTTACACAT